AGCCTCAGACAGTCCTGGGATGTGTGTAGTCTATTTCCCTTGTAGAGCAGGGCTCAGTGATTTCATAAAACAGCTGGACACTAGTTTTTCACAAACTTTACTCAATCAAAAGATTATTTGCAGACAAAGTGATATTTGTTGGTGTTTTATTGACTATCTCCAGCGGCAGGATGTATGTGGCACTGACTCAGAATAACCCAGTGTGTGTGTGTTTATGGCTCACTGATGTGTTTGTAATAGGTTTTAGAAAACAATGGAGCTCTAGAACACAATTGAATTAGGTATTTGGATTTGAAGACTTGTTGGTACGATAAATACTGAACATAGGAAGACTGTTCTCCACTACTTTGTATCTTTATAAATGGAAGGAATTACATTCAAATCTTTCTCTTCCACCTGCTCAATATTTAACAAAAAAAGTCTTTAGTGTTTCTGTTATGTCTGAGATTTTCTGATTAAATAAAGAATGCTATCAGACCTATCCTCCAAAGATTTTTATTACAAGTAACTGATATCCAAATATAAGAGTAAGCATAATGTATGAGAAATAAAATGTCCTATTGTCTCTGAAAGCAAACACACAAAAAAATGTCTTTGATTTAGAATCATGGCCTGTGACAGTTACTGTGAGATATAACACACACACACACTGGAAATACAGTGCACAGCATACCGGTAACGTTGTTGCTTTCAAATCAAAAACTGGGGATGAACAGAGCAGGGTCCTGCATATTTACAACATGATTTAAACTCCGAGTTGTACAACAGGTTCACTATTATGGTCAAGGATTCTGCTTCTTGTGTGCAACACTAATATTTAAGCCCCCCAGCGGTGCAACGACTTCATACACCTCTGCCCACAACCCCCCAAGCTGAGAGGCCAAGGTGGAAGAGCCAATGGCCAATTCTAACACCTCTCATGGTTAAAGAAGGAGGGTCAAAACTAACCTTTTATACAGAACTGTGTGGTCGAAAATTGGTACAACAATCGTGCCTTGAATGAGCAGTGTGAACAGTGTAAAGGGGACTGAACATTAACATTTATACTCCAGCCAGCTTTACACTTACTGCTGTGTCCCCATAAGCATCAAGTCTTTCCAAAAAGTATTACTGTATGCAAGACCAAAGTCCCAATTTGAGGGAATGTAGATTTAACTTGGTGTCTTTTTCAGGTAAGAGCAGAGTTTAAAGCTGTATAAAATGAAAACATACCTTTGTCTGTCCCCACTGTATTCTGCCAGTAATCTCTATGGATTTTCCTCACTTAATTTCCTCTGCAGTTACACAAAGTCAAGGCGACAGCTCCAGGTGCAGATCATGAATGAAGGGTACATAGTGGACTTATAATAGACCTATTCAGTTTTGGCTGGCAGCAGGACCGATTAAGCCAATTCAAATCCTGCTGGATATCTCCACGTTTAATAGCAGATTAGGAAATGTCTTGGATGAGAAATGTGAGGGCCTGGAGCTCACGGCCATTATATGGGAACTCTTACAGAGGTCACATGGCTCGGAAAACATCTGCGTTGAAAAACTGCAGCTAATTCTCCATTCGTGAGGCTCAATTCTTCATGTTGACTCTCAGGAGCTCATCCAGGGCTGCATGCGCAGGACATATGGAGTCCTGAAGTGTCATATTAAAACCTGCAATCACATTTTTTCTTTACAAAGCATGTTGATTTTTATACAAAACCAGCATAAACATAAATGATTAGGCATTAAAAGCTGTTCGAGTGTAGTTGGTATTGACACCAACTGTAGTGGATGTTAAAAGGTTGCCACAGATTCATACTTTGTATGTTTGTATAGGTTGAAACATAAAAACATTTTAAATGTAATCTGTGTGCAGTAATCTCAAAAAGGTCCATAAGTGATATATAGTGCTGGAAAATTAATTTCCAATAAAACTACATTGTTTCCACTCTCCATCTGTCTTTCATCCTCTGTGCCATAAACATTTTCCAACTTGGCACTCAGGACGCCTCTGCAATGTTTCCGTCACTCTCCTCTTCCTCCTCCTCCTCGTCCTCACTCTGCCTCCCAACACTTCTCTCATTTTGGCTCCTACTGGCCCCTCACGCCATCTCTCTTCTCCTCCTCCTCCTCTGTGATCTCCCTCTTTTTCTCATCACCGTCCTCTGTTCAGTCTCCCACATCCTCTTGGAGTTTTCTCTGGGTCTCATGCTCATGACTCATCATCCCACATGGAAACATTTTCTCTGTGAATGTGAGGGAGCTTTTACTGCTGTTAATGAAAATTTAAACAACAACCCTTGACCAAAGTTGGAGCGGTGGGAAAATGTGGAAAAGGAATCTGCTTTTTCTTCTCTTATCCAAATATTGCTACTTTTGACAAAACCTTTATAAATTTGTCTGTGATGCATTTCAGTGTGTGGTAATAAACAATATGTGTCATGTCAGGCAATTTTGTACTCCATTTGATATCACACCAGCTTCAGTGCACACTGCCCCCTACTGGCTCAGGCCTCTTCTTATATAACCTGGTCCCCCATCCAAGACCCATCCCACACATGCCTCTCCAGCCAGCAGAAGAACAAATCATTTCCACCTGATTTGAACACAACCAGATCTGCTGAGCTATGCCATCCAAATATGTAAAAGCATTTCCAGACTCAAGCTGCACAGACTACCAACAAAACAGACCAACTTCCTGCTACACAGTGATGCCTCAGTAATACAGGATAAGGCTGGAGATTTTCTATGTTTTGGTTATTTAACCCAAAGGAGTTTTGAACTATTTTTGGTTATTTTTTTATAGTTTTGATTTGACCTTTATATGGTATATTTTTCAGTGTGGCCTCACTTATATGACCTGACAATTATTTTTACACTTTGACATACTACATTAACATTTTAGACCCAAAATACACACACACACACACACAAACAAACGATCATGGACTCTTGGGATGTAAAACATGCCATACCTGTACAGACTAAAACCAACAACACATTTTGTGTGCTCACTGTAATGTATGAGTATCATGCACATGCACAGTCGTCTCTGTCTCACTTAAGAGACTGTCAAAAGTAGGCTAATGGTTATTTTTAGCCTTTGCAACTCTTTTTTGAAAAAAGACAGGCCTCCTATTTTTTGTGAGGAAGAAAAATGTCACCCAGTGCTGCAGTGCGGCTCACTGGTTTTGTGTTTTTAATGGTTTCCAGACAACAATGGATTTCTATGACACAAACCATTAAGTTAAACCCGGTTCTAGGGGGGCCCTTTTACCATTTGAGAGCTGTGCATTCCTCAGTAATATCATGTCTGTGGTATGTTCTGTGACAAGGCAGAGGTCACCTCTGATCTCTGGAGAAAATACAGGCAACAACAAAGACTACAGCTTTTGGTGAACATCTGAATAAAAGATGTTAGGGCTCAATTAAGATCCAATTATTATTTTTTTTCACAAAATGAAACTGAATACTAGAAATAGGCAAATCTTTCCAGTTATCTTGCACTGCTTTTCACTGTTTCTGCTATCTTGTCTGGAGGCACGCTGTAAATGAAAACAAGAGGATTGTGCAAATAATACAGAACAGTGATCTCAACCACTTAAAGGGAAACAGGTTGAAGTGGAAACAGCTGAGTGACAAAAACTTAAGCCTTGTGAAGGCCATGTATACGTGAAGAACTTGAAAGGCAGGACCGATTATAAGTGTTGACACATTTTTTAACGGCAGCTGTAATTTATTACCGAGCAGTTGTGTTGAACAGCACATTTGGTTTTTCATGGTGCCTACAAATGTTTTCATTTTCAAACTTTTACATGCCTACAAACAGCAGTGATCACTGGGAATAAAAAACTGTACCAAAGTTCAGTCTTTTGTTCACATGTAGTGTTGATAAAGTTTAGGTTGCCATTTTGTAGCTGTAGTCACGACCTTTAATGTGTTCTGAATCAAGTAGCCACTGCTGCTTCCCCCACCATTACCAAGAAGTCTAAATCCTCACTGGTCTTCTTCATTAACCCACAGCAGCACAGCTTCAAAGAGCCTATTCTGAAAACATGACCTTGTGTCCTCACTTCCAAGTATTCTCCATGCTGGTTCACAAAACTGCCTTGACATATTTTATGTATCACATGAACCTGTAAAACTATATTGGTTATCCACACCAGGTTAACCAGCATTAAGTCTGATGGAGTTTTGAACAACAAAACACTGATGTAGTGGCCACATGTAGGGTACCAACTGCACCGTTTACAAATGAACTTTTTCCTGCATCAAGAAAGCTTTGTGCGTCTCTGTCTGTATGAAACCTGTCAGTGTAAACAGAAAGATTTACAGACAGTCTGCCTTTTCAAAGTACATCCGAGTGCTAAGGAACGCTCTTATCTAAAGCACTTTATTATGTACCCCTCATAGTTGGCCAATAAAAGTGTTTCTTATCATGATCACATTTAATGTTGCAGCTGGTAAAGGTGGAGGTAGTGAGCATTTCACAATTGTAAGTGCAGTACTTGACTAAATGTACTTAATATTGTTACTTGATCAGTTTGGTCCTCTCTGTCCAAATCACAGTAAGACAGCAAACAAAGCCAAGAGCGCAGATAAAAAAAAATCCAGGATTACTGGGATAGAGAAGTGTACTGTAACTGCAATATTAGCCTAAGTAATGCATAGTTGAACGGAGCAAACCTAATTAAACCAGCAAAATATATTAAGATACTGTTTTGAGGACAGTGAATTAACACAAACCCTCTGACTTTATATCAGATCAATCTGGTTTTTAAGGATGAGGGAAAAATCTATACAAAAATCCACTTGCATATAGAAAGATGAAGCTTCACTAAGCTGAATAGGAAGATCTGACACAAGATATATAGGCTGCAGTAGTGTGATTTCACACAAAAATCACATCGGACACCTGCTACTTCCTTTTAATGTCTAACAACACTTATGGTCAAAATAACATAAATCAGTACTGTGTTCAAATTCTTGGAAACAGGATTCAACGAGGACTAAAAAAATTAAAGTCACCAAGCTTTTTTGTACTAATAAACAGATGGCAGCCAGATGTGCATTTACAAAATAAAATGTATAATTACAGAGCCAGAGTGCATTAGTCCTAATGGTAACAATAGTGAAGTAATAAAGTACTGTATATAACTAAATATACAGACATCTTTCAGTATTACTCTGAAGAAGTGAACAAAAAAGTTGTGTTCCTCAGGTCACACAATGTTTTAATCTCATTCATCGTTGCTTTGCGTGTTCTTGTAAAGCAACCTTTTGGGCACAGTCATGACATGAAACTTTGTGGTAATGTTACATCGCCCTGGTTAAACCACAACTCATTTCATTTTCCAAAACAGTTCACCTCATTTTGAGGAGGAAACAAAAGAGCTTTGAGCTTTCTTTGCTCCAATATCAAATTATCTGCTGGTCTAATGTGACCATGACCCAGCAGGAACTCAGTAGGCTTCCTCACACATTACGTTCTCCCCCATGTATGTGGCCAGGCCACAGAAAAAGGCAGCGTGTTTCCATTATCAGACAAATGTGACACTGGAAAACTCTGATGATCCCTGACAGAGTTCAGCCTGCTCTGTAACGCAGCAACATAGCTGAACTAAAACTCCTGAATATCAAAAATAAAAGAATACTAATTTAGAAATAGCAAAATATTTATTCACCAGTCAAAACATAAACTTCACAATATGAAGTCTGAGCACTGAGATCCACATGCTGATGCAGGCATGCCATGACTTCTGTTTACCTAACGACATTAATTTCAAGGCAACCTTTAAGTGTTAAAAGACAATGGACAGACTTTACATACTGGTTTGTGTATTTGTGTTGTGTGGGAAAGGTTTTGTGATGTGTAACATACTTTCTGTAATACCTACTTTGAAATTAGACCCAAATTTACACATCAGGTGGGTTACAAAGAGCACAAAAATATAAATAAACATCTGAAAGATAACCACTTTTCAAGATATGAATTAACAGTGGAAACAACAGACATAAATAAGCAAGTCTTAGAGAAGAACCTGCAGCATTCATGCAGATGATGGGTGTGTTTTTGGTATGTCTTTATCAGGGAATGGGACTACACAGGAAGGAGGACCAGTTTATCCAAACTTGTATCCTCCCTCAGTACCAAGCGGGCCAGAAGGGGTGGCAGTGGCTGTGGAGGGTTATCAGTTCTCGAGAAAAGCCACGTAGTCAGTGAGTCTGGCCAACTGCTGCTCATTTGGAACCAATGAGACGGGAGGAGGATCTGTTGAGAGAGGGGAGAGAGACACAAGGAGGAGTTGAGTCAGAGGGGGATTCCTCATTGTGCCAAGTGCTATGGATCTTCTTACTGTACATCTCTCCGGTTTTAATGCTACAGGTCACGTGCTCTAGTACACAGACTCTCAGCGGGGCCCAGGATTCAAGTTAATGCAACGGTCCACATCTGCACGAGCTCACCACTTTCCCCGACCTGTATAAAAACATGCCGCGTCTCCCCATGTTACTGTGATACATACATCCTTGGAAATCATTCCAACTCTTTACACTTATCCCAAGCAGCATGATTTCCTGTGTGAGATCCACTCTACAGCCAAAACCCCCAAGTGCATTAAGTTCCAACGGCACTGTGGAGGGGGAAAAAGCCACACATGGTGATTAATGGTGAGTGGGTTAACATTTTTGGGCTGGACACATGCACAGCAGATGCTTCAGCTGTAAGGCCTGACGATTACAGGGGGAGTACAGATCTCCACCTCCTCCTCTTCTGTTTGCATAAGTCAGTTGGTTTCTCTAACAAGATGAATGTGATCCTCTGGGAACGATGCCAGGAAACTTGGGAAATATGGATTTTATATATGAGGGAGATCTGGCAAATTATCAGTTTCAACCAATCCCATGACAGAGAAAATGTCATCCGTCTTTCTGGGATGAAGAAGGACTAAATCCCTGCTGTCGACATTTTACGTGTATCTGATAAAATCTAGGAGCAATGGTAGTAGACAGATGGGTGCAGGATAAGACTCAAAGAAAAAACTGTTGGGTGAGACAACAGTGCGCTGATGATGGGTACACTTTAAAAGAGCAATACTGCCACCTACCTGGCTTTTTGGGCATCACCATCCTGGTAGTGGGGTCTGCCTGCCAGCCTTGACTCACCACACCTTTGGACAAAGCCAGAAGTGAGAAAGAAGAAGAAAATACCTCCATTGGTGACTGTATAAATGTTTATGTAATGGAAACTAGCTGCATTACACCAGTGTAGAAAGGCTGCAGTACCACAGCTTTAATTACAACAAAAACTCTTATCTTTTGAATTCTTGCTGACACTGATAAAAAAGCCATTTCCTGTGTAAAGGTTGTGTAAATTACCCTTTACTGCCTCCTCCACAGAGTAGCCCACAAAGGCAGCGAAATCTTCTGCTGTGATGGAGGTGTAGGCCTGGGCTACAAGGCCGTACGCCCTCTGTCGTGTGCCCTCTGTGAAGGATCCATCAAGCACAGAGAAATTAATACCAGATGGGTACATATGGAGTCTATACGTGCTAAACAGTGCTCTGGTTCTACTTACATATACAGTACACAGACAACAGCAGCTTACTATGATCTTACAAACACAGGAACATTATATTATCCTTTGAACACATTTAAGTGCTGTGTGCTACAGGCTCTACTCTGTAAATATTAATCAATCAAAAGTGACAGGTTCTTGGAGCCAGGGGCTCTACTCTGCTACATCAGCCATAGGTCAGTATGTTTTGGTAAAATGTCAATTAAATGCTTGAAGTGTGTGTAAGGAACATTTTTATTTCATGCTTTTCCTGTTGCGAATTTCCCCTCTAGATGTTTGGCTATGGTCATTATGTGTGTTTGAGTTAAGACACTTTCTTGCCGCTGCCCCCAAACGAGCCCTCAGTCGCACACAGCTACAACTCTCATCTCTGACAAGAGCTGGTCTGGATTTGAAAATAAAATAAAAATGGCCTAAACAAAAGCTCTCGGTTTTCCGTTTAACCTTTGCGTAAGCTTTATACTGTGTGAAATGCATTTTGTTGTCAGGGAACTCTGATTTGATTGTGACTTGATTGTGAATTGATTGTGATCAGCTACAAGAAATAAGAAACTCAGGTTTTCTCCATAACCAATAACACTTAACAGTCAATCTTGTTAAATGAAGCATATTTATCAGGAATCATGGAAGTTATATGAGGTGCACTATCAGCAGGTACTGACTTAGGCTTCCCACCTATCCACGCTGCCCTAATCATCTAGCCTGACTTGACATGGAGCTGCAGTTTGTGGGGATTACAGTAAGATTCACTAGGCTTCACGACAGCATGGAACTATATGCACCGGCATGCATCTGCTGCTGCTCCTGCAGCTTTCATGTCAGAGCCTCGGGGCTGTGGCCTTTTGTGATTTATAGCCTAGCAACAGTTTGTGTACCAACAGTCAGCCCTCAGTCTACTGCAGCAGCTAGCAGCAGTAACAATAACAAGCAGGATGAGAAAAGACAGCTGTGAGATTTGTCAAGAGCACTTTCCCATTCTGCTGCACAAGAGGCTTCCTCTTCTGCTTGTTATTGTCTAAAAAGAATTAAACATGCTGAAAATATCAACTTAGAACAACATGGAGTGGCAGTGTTTATCTGGTCGTTGTATTATAAAGTAGTCAGGTTTTATTCTGTTATGGTTTTAACCAAAGCTGTGGTTGTCAAGTCATTTCTACAGCTTTTATTTAGCCATTATGATGATTAAAACAGATTTTTGTAATGTGGTTAAAGAGCTATGTGGGTGAAGCACTTGCTTTGTCACTGTGCTGATGAATCACTAACATGGAAGCTGACTGAAATGTCTCTCCTTTCTCTAGTCTGTATAAAACTTCCACCCATTAAAAGTGTACTGCACTTTATAAAACCATTTCTGGCACCTGAGTGCTGCTCCTTAGAAAGGAAATGGGAACTACGAGCTATGTTTCCCACAGAGTCAAGTAGGTCACCTGAGGGGGCTTTTGGTAACCCGGTCCCCAGACAGATGTATTTTTACCACGGCCTCTTGACCGCTAGGAGATGACTTGTGTAGCAACTGGACCAGCCTTTCTTTAGTGTGCCACACTTCAAGGTTGGGCAGGAGCTGCTGAGCAAGAGGTCCATAGCTGGGAGGGTGGGAATTTTATGAAGTAGAAACAGGACCTTGCCTGTCCTTCTCTGACAGTCTATTCCAGGGCTGCTATCGCTTCTCACTATCTCACCTCTTAAAAATAGCCTCCACTTTTCACCAGCAAAGGCAAAGCAGACAGGACAGAGCAAGGGCTTTTATTTTTAAATACAGCCTATTGCCAAGTAAGAGCAGCAACAGACTGAGAAACGTTTTGATGGAAGCACCAGAGGACCAAAATAATACAGTGTCTTCACGTTTCTTCCTCTGTATGCACTCTAAACATTTTAGTTTAGGCCTAGCAATAATGAACATAGATGATAAAACTTCATGCACCTTTATTTCACATTCCATAAAAGACAGATTTGGTGATTACAGCTAGATCAGCTGATCATCTATTCAACACAAACTCAAAGTGCTTATTTCCATAAGCTACATGTGTGGAAACTTGTGTAGTCGGCCTTCAGATATTCTATATCCTATTTTTTCATTTGCTTAGAAGTACAAAAGTATAAAAAGAAGTTAAGAAAAGGTATGAATATGACACTGAGATTCAATATTGCACTGTTAGTAAGGGCAAACCATTTTATCCTCCATAACCTTGTATTTCATTCAACATCAGAGTCCCTGCCATAAGCCCTTGTGTCAAGACAACCTTCATAAGCACTTATTACAGTATTTCCTACAAGTCAATAAACATAGGTTTTCATTATTCCTCCTCCTCTTCCTCCTCTGCATCTTCAAATTCATCATCATCTTCGCACATTCCAAAGTCCATTTTTGCCAGGACTGCTTCAACATGTTCTGTTGACAAAGTGAAGTGGTCCATCTTCTCAAAGCCTGGCTCGGGCCTCTCTTCCCCCAGTGAGCATTTAGCTGCATCTTTGGTCTTCGCGATAAGGCCCTTGGAAGCTAAGAGAAACTCAGCAGTGCCACTCTGCTCCAATGCTCTTACAGCTGTATCTGTGAGCTCGGTACTAGACTGCAATCGTTCCCCATAGCGTTGAGCCATTGCACGCAGAGCTGCCACCTTTTCATCTTGCTCTTTACCTATCTGCTCTAGTAGAATGCCCTTGCGCTCTTCAAGGACAGCATATAACAGGTCAAAGCGTTCAGCTAACCCTTGCTTGACAAGCTGAGCATTCTCCTGTACTGCACGGCAGGCATCTTCCATCTGGTTGAGCAAGGCCTGCAGGCGCCCATTGCTGGCCACCAAAGTATCAATAGCATTACTCAGGTCACCTTTCTGGGCCTGATAAACACTTGCTAAAGGTGCCACCTCACAGTCCTTATGCTGACCAAACACTTTGCACATGGAGCAGGTGGGTACTTGGCAAGTAATGCAATAGATGTTGATTCTCTCATCCTCATGTTCTTGGCACACTGGTTCTTTGGATTCTTTGGATTCTTTGGGCTTCAGGGTACTTTGTGTATTTCCACTACCCTCTTGCTGCTGCTTATAGATGTCGATGATATTTTCAACCAGCAGGTTGCGCTGCAGGCCATGTACACCGTGGCGGTCAAGCACAACCTCAAACCGGCAGGTAGGACAGCGAAAGACACCACCAGAAAAGCGGTACGGGTTGCGTGAGTCATAGAGGTCACTGGCACAACTACGGCACAAGTTGTGCTGGCAGGGCAGGATGACCACAGGTTTGGTGAACATGTCCAGGCAGATGGGACAGCTCAGCTGCTTCTCGAGGCTCTCCATGGGGCTGGAGGACCGAACCATAGATCCTGTCCTCTGGACGTCCATTGTGGAAAGGTCACCTACAGCTAGACTAATCGGTTTCCTGGTTTCCAAAAAGAAAAATCTAAAAGTGTCACTCTCTTTCTTGACTTCAAAAAGAATGAGAATGACTCCTTAGTGTGTGCTGTTGCTTGGTAAATGCTGCTATCTCTTCTGGCTGACAGCTAGCAGCCTTGTCCTTTATACCAGCCCCTCACAGCTGGTTGATACCCGATACTTTCAAACAACCGGAGCACACATTCTTGCCTGCTTGCTGGCCTGGGACCTCGTCACAAAAATGGCGCCCACCCACCAAATGTAGCATGTGTCACATGTCCCGGTGGGCAATGTGTCCCTTCTAACAGTGAAGTGGTAGACTGATCAGAGGCAAACAAGGTCCATGTGACTGGCGCAGAGCCTGAGAGACAGAGCTCAGGTTAACTGGTAAACAAGTCCATGTCAACATCCTGAGATCCTGTGACTCAGTTGTTTTTACTATTTTATGTGTTTGGATTTGCTGTATACCATGTGACATTTATGTTTTTTTCCTACAGTAACACAGTGACCTTGTTGAAAATAATTATTTTCATATACTCCTGACGTTGTCTAAAGTTGAATAAATCAGTGATATTACTCTACAAAAAATGATTTTTTTAATGATTACATTGTTGTTAAATCACCGATTAGACTACAGTACATAAAGCTGAAGGCTTTCTTTCATAAGTGAGAAAATAAACATTCGCTGGTAAATGCTTTTCAAATTTGAGGATTTACTTGTTTTAATTTGTTTTGTAATCAACTTAATACCTTTGGAGTTTTTCACTATCAGTCAGAAAATATGAAAAATTCTAAGACATCACTTTGGGGTTTAGTAACTAGCAGTTTGGTGTGTGTTTTTGTTTGTGTGTTTATTTTGTTTTTAATTTACAAACCAGTGGTTATAGCAAGTTTTAGGGAAAATAAGCTGCTGAAACTTTCCAGTTACCTGAGATACAACTGGTTGTTTAAACAGTTGTTAACAATGTTACCTTAGCACAACTGTTAATAATGATATTTAGTTGATACCACGTATATACTGTATACAGCAAACACCAATTTATGTGGTAATGAGTACTTCACACAAAATTTCTTGATGGGTAGATTTGCTTTCATCAATCCCTTGTTGCCCAAATGTCTTTGGACATATTGTACATCAGAATCCATGGCAGCTCAACATGACGTACCGTAAACATGAAGGGAAATCTATTCTTAAACTCTTGCTCAAGGGAACCATCACATGGTACAAATGTCCCAACACTTGTGATCATGATAGGAGTAATTTGAAATGGTTCTGTCTCTCAAATTGTTTCTTTAGATATAAGATGTTGATGTGTAAATATAAAATAACAAAGATTTTTAGATATTCATTTACATTATGAGAAAGTATCAAGGCAAGTATGTGAGCATGCAAACTAGCATCACACTCAGACCACTGTGTTATAGCCATCTGTCCTACCCTAATATGTCTGCCGGACAGTAAAAAAAAAATTGTCAAATCATCTCCTTTAATTTTTTTCAACTGCTGTATTTTCCAGCTGTGTTGCGTACTAGCTAGAATTCCGCTCAGCTGGCGCCCCCTGCTGACTGTAACTGTAAATCACACAGGGGACGTGTTCATATTTAATTCACTTTAATGTTCACACAGGTAATATCCCCACTGCCAAAAGAATAAAAGCATGTAGTTATTTATAAGTGTTATTAATCTGAAAAGCTTTATGAGATGTAAAAGGGACAAAACACCTGACAGAATGGAAAAGACATGATTTTTGCTGTTACCTCGAAGGGCCTCCATGACTGGAAGAATAGTCTCTGTCCACTGGTAAGCTGCAATGGCAGTGTAGATCCCTGGAAAGTCTCGCTGCCAAATGCGCTGGCCAACAGTCCAAATTGCTGCTAATTCAGGGTTTGTCTGTATACAGCAAATAAAAAAAGCATTAAAAAAGACAGTGGGTTTCATACTACTATGGTGAACATGTCCAGGCAGATGGGACATCCAGTAACATGCAGCATGCTGCTTTCATGTTCTATGGAAGCTACCATAGATGCATAGCTGCATGTTACTGGATGGTTAAATTTTTTAATACATCTTTATTTCTAAGGCCAACTCTAAGACTACTAAGGCTACATGAAGCTATTTGTTCTATAATCTAAGAACATCAGCATTCCGCTGAGTAACCGACAAAAAACTAATTCTAACTGTACAACTGACCATTTAAGACTATATTAAGCATAAGGCATGGACTAATACCCTGTGGGACAGAAGATAGTATTGAAAAATTATCCTATTCTTATGAATTGCTAGCATTTTTAATCATACAACTCAAAAGAACAAATGCTTATGGTATTAAAAACCAGTTATTATCTATCTATTGTTGAGCTATGATTCTGTAATGGGCAGAGAGTCATGGGGGGGCATTATTTATACTTAGTTCCCAGTTGTAATTACACCTGGATGTGAATGGCACGTAGATATTGGAAAATAGTAAATATGGTAGCTTCCATAGAACATGAAAGCAGCATAAGCAGGGCAAAAGATAATCATATGTATCATAACAAATGGTTTCAGCAGTACTTCCTTAGCAATGTCTACACATATTTAAACATGCTTACCGATTTTATTGACTGGGGAATCCTCTTCCATAGGTACCTGGCATTATTCCTGTTGGACCCACATCAACATGTTAGTCTACACCTATGAAACATATCAGCTACCTAATGTCATTTACTATAATTTGCTATACTTCAACTAGGCCTATTGCTCTTTCAAACTGCATCCTCTCAAGTTATTACTTTGTCTTGCAACCCCAGGACACAATGTCATTTCACTTTTAAAAAGGCAGCTTAATTATGGTTTTGTGTGAGATGTGAATAATAATTTTAAAAACATTTAACAGAGGTGCAGTCTAAGCGTGTACAACTGTTAAACTAGAAGGCACTCTTAGTGCCACTAGTGATTATTATGCGTTTACTCTGGAATTTCTTTTACCGATATCACTTGAATGCGCCTTGCACTATGACCTGTGCAATAACAACTAGTGTGTTTTAAGAAAATCTGGAAGAATGGGAGTGAAAAAAATCCCCGTTTTTGTGATACTTTTTCTCTCTTAAAGACCATACACCCATATATCTAATAATAAAAAAAAAAACTTGTGTGGAAAAACCCATCTGCTTCTAGAGTCAGACACACTTGACTCACATGTCACTATGAAGTAAATAGAGCGCCAACAACTGAGCGTAGACTTGCGGTGTTGCAATGCCTCCTGGAGCCTGTTGAAATAAATGTAGGCATGACATTAAAGTTTGAAGCGAAAAATAGGCAGAAAAAGCTACCTTGATTTCTTTACCAACCATGCTGTACGTTTTAAAGCTCATTCATTAACATTCAGTAGCTAAGTAATGTTTGCTAAAGACTGCATTCTTTGACGTATTACTCAATAAAAGGTTCATGACTGTACTGTACCTCCGACAGCTAGCGTTAACTGTTAGCATGAAAGTTAGAGATCCAGCCAGTTAGCGTTATGTTATGTTGCTTCTGCTAACGTTATTCCTATCACTGCTAGAGTTACCGCAGGACCCGCAGTTAACTTAGCAATATCCTCTCAAACAAACAGATCATAAACAAATCTATAGTGAAGATACAGTATCTCCATCTTATATTGCTAACTGGCTCCTACCTATCTGCTAATTGCGCACAGTAACGCTGCGTCAAAATGGACATTTAAAGCTACGTTTAATTGAAGACAAAGTTCGATGGCATTGTTAACATAGCAAAGGCTCGTTTAATTTAACATTTACAGTGACTGAAAGTAAAATTATGCTAAAGCAGGCTAGCTTGTTAGCCTAAGCTAGTTGTCAAAACACTACTGCCAAGCCTTTAAGGACAGAAAGTCTATAAAACAACATGTAGTGTTGGCACAAAAAGCGTAAACATTTTGTGATTCCATGCTTAGGTTACCTCGAGCTCTTGAGATTCGCACTGCTCCAGTAACTTATCAAAATTTTCCTCCATAATCACAGCAGTAGGCATAGTGTTGCCTAGCTGTTGCACCGGAAACCTTCTTCTTCTTCTTCTTCCTGTTTAATGACGGGTTGTAAGTCAGCTTAAGGTACATTACCGCCACCTATTGAAGTGGAGTGCTGGAAAACATCGTTTTCTTCTTCTTTGGTTAGGCCAATGGCTGAAATCTCTTCTTCTGTGTAATAGCAGTAGAATAGCAGCATGTCAGAGATGTTGCTGCCATCCAATGGAAGAAACTACAGAATTTATACACATTACCTCTAACTCTGCTTTAAATCTAAGATACAATCCAAGATTCAGTTATACAGCAATAGGTCAATCATGAGATACAATTCCAATAACATCTCACAGAAATTAAATGAAATAAATTAATCAGACATGGACCACTTAATTACATACACACAAAAACAACAGTATCGTCCTGCAGGATGGAATACGTAACCTTGATTTTTGTTATTTACAAAGCTTTGTAAATGAGGCTGTTAATCAAGATGTGAAAATATGTGGAATCAAGGATTATTGCTAGCCCAGGGATTAAATAAGGAAAAGTGAATATGACTGATATTAATATGTAATTAACAGGTAAAGGTTTCCAAGTCAGTCTTGCCTGCAGTCATTTGTGAATATTTCTCTGTTCATCCATTAAAACCTGTTGGTCCAATCACTTTCAGGGAAACCTGTACATTTAGATTTATTTTTAAATGTGATTTCTAACCAGGGATTTAGAGGTACTTTCCTTTCACAGTTTTTTTTTTATTATATTATATTTTATTATTCTGTAATTCTGGAGAATTCAGTCTGGTTCTAGTGAACTCCACAGCACTAAGAATGTTTGCCTGTCTCCTGAAAATCCGCTAATGAACATCCACTGTCTGCCAGTGCTGGAGACTCTGCATTTTTAATCTTTTTTGATCTCTCCATTTCCTTTGGTGTTATTGACTACATGCAGTTTTTTTTTTCTCTGACTCTAAAAATGGCTTGGCACCACAGGCAAGCAGACTCCAATATGCTACCACTATTTTGACATTTTTAGAATTTTTCCTGTCTCTGCTCCTGCTGTGCAACGCAACCTGGGCTCTAAAATTCTTGACAGATTGAGGTTGCTACATGTTGCATATATTACTGGTGTTACTGTGAACCCAAGATTGTGTGATAAAGCTTAAAGGGACTTTATAATGTGCATAAACTGTGGCATCTCGACTGTGGCATCTCGTGCATGCACATGTTCTATCATAAATCCTCACTGCAGAATATAAATTACATTAGTGGTGTAGTAGTATATGATTCTGCAATGACTTAAGTCACCAATAGGAAGCAGCATTGCTCATTATTTCTGTTTACAATGATTTTTACAAGGCACAGCAGTCCTTAGATTGTCCTGAGTGTCAGAGAGTTGATTGACACTACTGATTTTTGGAACAGAAGATCTGCTTAGAAACCACCCAGACCTCTTTTGTCTAGTACTGGTCTGCTTACTGCCCCAATAACTAAAAGGTCTATGCCTATTTTTAGCCATATTACAACCAAATCAGAAAAAGCTGGGATGGTGTGTAAAATCAAAACTGAAAGTAGTGATGTGTAAATCGTCGGTGTCCTGTATGACATTGAAAACAACACAGCAGCACATTATTTGTTGTGATACCTCATCAGTTTTATTATTTGTTCATTCAATTTTGATGCTGCAACACATTCCAAAAAATGTTGGGACGGCTACATTTCAGGGTCAGTAATGAGGTAAAACAATGAAATGATGATTCCATTAGAAACAGGTGATGTCAACAGGTGACTGCATCATGATCTGGTACAACAGTGGCATCCAGGAAAGGCCGAGCCCTATAGGAGCAAAGATGGGCCGAGGACCACCAGTTTGCCAACATATGTGTGAGAAAATTATTGAAATGTTTAAAGACAATGTTCCTCAAAGAAAGATAGGAGGGATTTGGATATGTCACCCTCTACAGTGCAGAACAAAAGATTCAAGGAATCTGAAGGGATTTCAGCGTATAAAAGGCACCAGCCTAAGCTGGAGGACCAAGCTCTCCGATCCCTCAGACGGCACCGCATCAAGAATCATCACACTTCTAGAAGCGATGTAACCGCATGGGCTCAGGATGACTTTGTTACACCTGTGTCAGGCGCTACAATATGTAGTTACATCTATAAACACTGAACACTGTGCTTTGCCAAAAGGAAGCCAGGTGTCAACAGTGTCCAGCAGCGCAGTGGACTGCTCTGGGCTCGGAGGCAGCTGGGACGGACCATCATACAGTGGAAACATGCACTGTGGTCAGATGGATCAGTGTTTCAGGTCTTTTTTGGAAGGAATGGAAAGGAATTTTATTTCAAGCTCCCATTTATACTGTCTTTTTTTTTATATTGCCTTGTGTTTCTTATGTATATTTTCTTAATGCCTTTCCATGTCTTATGTCAAGCACTTTGAATTACACTGGTGTGGAAAGGTGCAATACAAACTAAATCACAACCTTTCTTAAACCAACTGTTTAGGCTCTTTCAAGGATAAACAATATTTCCCATGAGTTTCTTCTATACCAGCAAATGATCCAGATCTACATTTCAACTGTCATCTCATCTTTTTCAGCAAGAAAAGATGAGATAGAAGCTTCATTTCATACTTGAAATGAAAACTGAAAAAGCTCCAGTATATAAAACAACATCTATTGCCACAGCCTTAATAATTCAAGCATTTTGTGACCAGATTTTCTGATAAAGGCTAACAGAGAGGATACAAAGTGATGTAACAGTTTAAAATCCTGAAACAAAATTCCCTAGACACCCAAAAGAATCAAACATTAGCAGGAAGAAACAAATAACATCATCTTCCCTCTCTGAAGCGTGTATTTTTAAATTATAAATTACTCGCCACCAGCCTCTCAGGCTGTGCTAACACCAAATGAAAAGAATTGACAGAGAGAGAGACAGAGATGGTGGAGGAAAGACAGTTATAAATAACAATAATGACAACCAGCATTTCTAATATGAAGATGTTATTTTTTCAGCTTCTCTGTCTTCAGTCAGTTCATTCAGGAAACAAAGCGTGCATCTCTCATCCGATAGCACTCAAACTATCTGGTGCCCTAATCTAACAAGGTATTGAATATTACATATTAATATCCATGTTCATAAGTGCTGTCATTTCCACTACAATCCACTGACTTTATAACCAAATACCAAGGGAGGCTTAGGTTTGGCAGCTGTGGTAACAGAAGGTATTGATTCATCCAGTTGTCATTCATTGTGACTTTGAGAAGAAACCTGCTTTGTGTTATAAATAAACTGAGGCCTTAGTATAAAATCGGGTCAAGCAGTATGTTGGCACTTTGCTTCTGGCATTGAGGTCATCTCACCTTTATTTGTATTAGTGTAGCTGTTGTTCCTGCAGATGGTTTGAGGCTTCTGCTCCATCTTTCCCCCTTTTCAGTGTGAAAGACGTTCCCTACCTGGTGGGTCTGCAAGGTGAAAGAATAAAAGAGAAATAACAGAAAAGGGAGGGAACGTAAAAGCAGACAGGCACCAGGAGGACATGAAGCTGTAATTATTTTTGTTATACTGTTATAAGATGTGAGCAAAATCTTGTTTTTTGTTTATTTGTTTTTTTGCATGCATTACTACTCTAGCAAGAGTTTTTAAAAATAGGTTTGTTTTGAATTAATCAGAACTATTAATATTTCCCTTTCATGTCTTCACTAGCTCAGGGCCTTCACCTACTTTTGCTTAATGGTAAGATTACTTCTGGCTGTCAGAAAAACCAATGTTTCCATACCTCAGAGAAAAGGAGGATACTGCCTGAGGGACTTTTGGAGGCTCGTGATGCATCATCTGTGTGATGATCGCAACTTCATTAATCCAATTTCTTAAAATTGTTTGCAAAATATTCTTTTTAGTTTTTTTTTCCCACTGCTTATCTAGGTCTGGATTGTGGTGGAATCAGATGTCTACTCCTAAGAGGCATTGTTTGCCTTCTTCTGAGGGACCTAAGTCATTCAGGCCTGATGGGAAACAATGTAAGACAGGTCTGTTCTGTAATCCCACTCTCTATTGGAAACAGTAATATGTCATATTACAGCAAATGTGTTTGGAAATGACCATTTTAGTGAAGAAAACACTGCTTTGTGGTACTGTACAAAGATCAGTAGATCTGGCTGGATGGTGGTGTACAAAATGTAGGACTTTGATACAGGACCCGAAAGATTCTTTACCAAGTTCTGTCAGCTCCTAAAAATAACCTGGCACAACCAACCAACCAACCGGTGTTACTACTCAGTAACTGTGGTTCTCATGGGCTTGTCATAAATTTAGTCCAACAATAAGCTCACTTCACGATTCCAAACCTCTTTGACCCTCTAGTTTGTTATGTTCTCCTGCCAATAACAGCGCAGTTCACCAGCATTTGAGTTTTATCTGTGGGGTGAGATTCATACATTGAAACATGCAAATGATTGTGTGTGTGTGTGTGTGTGTGTGTGTGTGGCGAAAGATGTGTGGCAGGCCAACAGCTGCCCCTGAAATGCTCCTTGAATTGTTCCCGTTCTTTAACACATGCAATCAGATACGCACCTACATTATACACACATACAAAACATCTGAATAATTCAGTTAAGTACCTCACACACCCCAGTTTACAGTTATGTCACATCAACACACTTGTGATAGCAATGGGTGTCATTTACAGTACTAATCCAAGCCCATATTTTCCTTTTAAAGAACTAAGTCTTTAAAAGTGGGGCACAAATATATAGTTAACCCAACTTCACCCTAACCTGGGACCAGCTAATCCCTCTAAATTCAGTGATTTACATGGAAGGGACCATCATCTGGACCAAGAAGGCTGCATATAAATAGGTTTTGGACCCCACAGTGTGAGTAACACTGTGGGGTCCAAAACACACACTAAGACCCAAGACAAGATTTTAGCTCACACCCAAGGTCAGCCATGCATTTCCTGATAAAATGTGATAGTGACCTGAAAACTATACAGATGAGACATGCATAGACACACACAGTGGCAGCTGCCTGTGTATGTGCATTCATCTGTTAAAAATAGTTTCTAAAAATATT